CCCTAAATGTCCGTTTTGAAGCGAGAGTCCTGCATATCCAATGAACGAGTTCTCTTGTGTATGGGTGATTATTGTATATGTGTGTGTGTGTGTGTGTCTGCTTTGAAGGCTTCTTGCATTTCAATTGATTGTAGTTGGAAATGGGATCGACATAGGGAGGCGGGCACGAGGCAGGTGGTCCATCCTGTCGACCATTAACCAGAGCGTTGCATGCGCGCGCTCCAAGCGAACGTTGAGCGATTTCCGTTGTGGGTTGCGTCATGCACATTGCACACAAACACACACACAGTCGTATCGACTTTCTCCCATTCTCTTGCCTTTTTGGTTGAAAATCTTGCTGCAGCTAGGTGCTGGTGCTGGTGCTGGTGCTGGTCCTGGTGCAGCCAAGGACTTTGGCTGATGCCACGACGTGACTGAGCGATTACTCATATCCGGCAGCGCCGCAAAGTTCCCGTTCCCGTTCCTGTTGTTCCTGTGTGCGCGCACAATTGCCCGGAGGAGGTGCCCGTGCGCCCGTGTCCATGTCGGTGTCCACCAGTATCTGCATTCCCAACTGCACCCAACTGCAAGAACGAGACAGTCCATCCCCTAGTCTTGGCAAAGGATTAAAGCTGTCGGGCATTATGACGTTAATGAAAACCAACACCGTTCATGCACCTGTGCATGCGCTTCACACCTGCAACCCGACTGCAACCACCAGAGAGGGCCGCAGAGCCACAGCCAAGCATAAGTCTCGCCGCCCATCTCGTTTGCATATGGTCGGTCGGTCGGTCTATGGTCTGGCCTCAAACCCCCAACTTACACCCACTATTCGACTGCTGGACAGCCACCATTCCCCAGGACAAACACACACACACACACACTCAACGGGGGTGAGGGGTTGGGTTGTGCACTGCACTGTCTGGCGGCACAGTTCGTTTTAATTTCTACAATTATGCATGGAGAAGTGCAATGTTTGTTGGTATTTTCACTGGCATTTTGTTGCGTGTTAGACAATTTACACAACCCCCCGTGTCCTTTGCCGCCCGCCCACCTGCTATGCTCATGCCAGTGGCTAAAGGACAGTTAATACATCAAAAATATGCAAAATACATGTTACACATCTATGAAACACGCATTGAATATACATTTATACATGTAAATGCGGCAATTATAGTTATATATGTGTATATCCATTATGTACAGAACACATCTACATATATTTATGTAAATATGTATGTACATATGTCTATTCATTAGCCGCACGCTTTGGTGGAGAGTGTCAACGCGTCGCTTCAACGCTTCGCTGCTCTCCTTCCTCCTGTGCTAATAACCATTTTGGTGGTTTCTGCCCAAGGGTCACGTCACGCAAGGATATGCTCGGTTTGGTCCACAAAATGTGACAATTTTGATGAGGGGTAGGGGTTGAGGGCATACATAATTCATGCAGCATGCATCATGCATCATAGCTTGACATTTAATAGCGTAATTATAGCGTATAAATAAAACTTATTTTGTGTCCACTTAAGCCGCTCAATTGAAAATAAGTTAAAGCAGCATTTATTTCCTCAAATGTCTCAACAAAAATTGCAGTCTCTGTGAGTTTATCGAATTTAAAGCTTTTTAAACAATTTCTAGTCGATGTTCTGTAAGTGTTTTATAAAGTTTAATCGTTTAAACGGTTGTAAATTTTATTAAAACACTTTTTAAATGATGTTTTGAACTTTTTGCATAAGCTTTAATCGACATTTTGTAATTTTAACTCGATTTTTAATCGATCTATCGATAATTTTCAAATTTTCAAACAGTTTTGACTGAGCAATTTATTTTCCCTTTCGCTTCTAATTGCAGTTTTGTTGTGTTATCCACCGAACTATCTCCCTCTGCTTATTTTGCATGTATTCTCATTTTGTCTACTGGTAAATCATTATATCTCTGTACTTTATGTACTCATGCCTCAAGGGAGTCATCATCTAGTCGATCAACCATTGTTACTGCTGCCATTGCAATTTCTGCTGCTGCTGCTGCTGCTGCTGTCAGTGGCAATCGACAACATGCACAGCTTTTGCTTAATTATTTTTCCATTAAATGCCAATTAAATTTGGATATTATGTTCGAATGCTCTCGCATTGAATGGGGCGGAAGGGCAGGCCATACAACAGATACACAGATATAGATACAACAGATGCTCGAGAGCTTTGGGGCCCCGGTGCCATGGCAACATTTGATTGCAGTTGCAGTTGCGTAGTCTGTACATATTTTCTCCCTCTGATTTTTTGTTATAATTTTATTTGATTCTTTTTCATATAATTTGCACAGCCCAGAGACACGACACGATAGAAAGGGGGCGACAGTGTCCCTCCTCGCCTCAGCGCTGAGGATGATGACGGCAACGACGACCCAGTTGGCAAATGCAAATGTTCTACATACATTTGTTAGCTCTTGCTGTGCCTCGCCGAGGAGGAGAAGCAGGGAGCACTGTGTCTGGGTCTGTGTCTGTGTGGGATGAGATGTGGTTTTATTGCATTTCAAAAGTTGAAATTATGTTTGCTTTTCTGTGTGGCAACTGCCTTTGACTAAGTGGCAACCAAAGCCATGGCAACGGCAGCAGCAGCAGCAGCAGCAATAGCAGCACTTGAGGCTGTGCAACAAAAGCAACACAATACAGAAGCAAAGCTCCTGACTCTGAAGTGGACCAGGAATCAAAAGCTTAGTCGTTTATGAGGCTGCCTCCTCCAAGGATGGATGCCAGTGGGATGGGATTCTATCCGGGACTCAGCATCCTAATGGGTTTATTTGCTATTCGTTGTTGAGGCGTGGGCCAATTAATACATTTCAGAGATGAATATAAATTAATTGCCTCTCAAATCAGGGCAGGGCAGGGCAGGGATGTGGAGAGAAACTACTAGTAGGGCAGCTCGTGCTAGCCTCCCATCAAACGATTACCTTGAGAGATGCCCTCGAGATATTTCATTACTCTCCAGCACCAGCTCCAGTTTCACGTTTCATTATCTTCTACTTACTGGCCAATGATTCATTTAATTTCAGCACTTGAGATACTAGATCTCCCTCGGGGGGCAGCTCCTGCTCCTGCTACTGCCCCATGCCCCATGCCCCAGGGCTTTCATCCCGTTGGTACTTGGACCATTTTATTGCCTCGCCTTCCCCAATTGGCTTGCGCGTTCCTTTGGCTTTCCGCTGTTTGCTCCGTTGGGTTTTCCTCCCATAAAAAATGGAAGTCAGTCAGTGAAACATTTTAATGTTTAATAACCAACTTTGGTCTGTGGAATGCATGCTCGCTCTCTCGCCTAAAGTCGCGGGACTCCTGCTCCTAAACGGCTCGCATCGTTACAAATTGTTGACCCAAAATGGTTGCGACACGTTCGACCAGCCAATGAAGCAATTGCCAGAGAACCAGAGAGCCACAACCACTTCGTTTCTCCTTCTGCCACTGATTCGTAGTGCCACAAAAAGTGGCCATTTCCCCAAAAGGGTCGCGCTTCTCGTTGCCGCTGCCTCGTCCATCACCATCCATTGACGGGGGTTGGATGGGAGCGGAGGCGTGCAAATCGAAGCCTTTTGCCGGCGATTCATTTGCAAAAAATCCCGTGCGTTTACAGCAGGTGCAGGCGGGGCCATGGCAACCTTTGAATAGAGAGTGGGAGAGCGTGTCTTTTGATCTGCTCAACGCCGATAATGATGGATCTGCTGGTGCATTTGATTGGATTACATGCGTACACTCACGCCACAGATGCTGCGGGATGGGGGACTTCACTGCGTATCGAAAAGGCTAATTGGACTAGGCGACAAGGTCGAGTAGCCCGCAGAGATAATCCTCGTTCTTTGGTAGGGGATATGCAAATAAAGGCAGGGCAGAATGAATCTCGGCAATGGTATCAGATTATACTTGCCGCAAATTATAAAACACATTAGATGGGAGGGCGATTGCCATCCCCGTATAAAAGGGTGCCCCCGACCAATCATTGGAAAATGTTTTGAATACTCCACAACATCGAAATGTGAGCGAAATTGAATCGAAATTCATTAAATGTAAATTACAGGGAAAGCATCATCGATGGGGCAGTGCTGATTAAAGGGAATGCCAGAGTGGCTGTCGCTTCCTGCCCCGCAGCTACAAATTACAGTGTGGAATTGTATCTGATTTCAAAAATTGTTGCAAATTAGAGAAAACGTCGATGGCAGAAGGGTACACAACTAACCCTTCCATTAGCAACCCTTTTACAAAACTAAATTGAATAAAAATTGTCTGCGAATTGGGGATAATTTCCATAGAAATTACATCCGATAAATATCCGATGGTGTGATGTGGAAAAGGGAATAGGGTAAAAAAAACATTTTAAAATCGAATTAAAGTGTATTTAAAGTAAAAGACATCTAGTTTTGGGATGTCAATGGCTGTTAGCGAAACTTATAGAATCAATCGTAATAAATATAATTTTTTTTTGGCGGCAATAGTCTGAGATTTCAATAACAACCAATCATGGAATAGAATGCCATAGAACATCGTGGATAGATGTGGAAAAGCGTCTAAAATATGTTTACGAGCATTGATGATGCCCCAAGGCATTCCGGGAATTGCGCAAAAACAAATTTGTAACTAAATTGAGAAAGTGTTTAGAGGAAATTCAATTAAATATCAATCATCGGCAAGTACTAAACACTTGCTCAATGATTTGAGGGTTATAAATCCATCAAAAAGAGGGTTGAAAATAACATATACATATGTACTTGAGAAGGATAAGAGCAATACACATTCCCTGTACATTTTCCCTGTACATATGCGTCTCACATTTTCTATGCAAATTTGATGGGCGGGCAGTCCAACTCCCACCCTTTGCTCTGACCCCCCGATTGGAGTGATGTGTGTCTGTGTGTTTGTGGCATTCCACTCAGGGTAGGGGTTTAATTAAATGCTCGATTTGACATCTGTGGCGGCGGCGTCTAATTTAATTGTTGCACTGCATTTATACTAATTAATGCAATTCGATGCTTTGTTTCAGGTGCCCAACATGCCACTGAAGCTGCCAACAGTTGCTGCAGCCACAGTCGATTCAGCAACAGCAACGACCACGACGACACCTTGCCTGCACCAGCGGCGATTTCTTGAATCTCAGAAGCAGCAGCAGCAGCAGCAGAGTGTCAAAGATGCGACGACGACAACAACAACGACAACTACGCTACCCGCCGTATCTGTATCTGTATCCATATCTGGGCCAGCAGCTGTCAGTGATGTGTTCTCAACGCTGATGAGAACGACGGCGACAACGACAACGGCGGCAACCGTTCATGCAACAATAGCAACCACACCTGAAATGGCCAACAAAGGTGAGCAAATACACATGAACATACATATAAATGTAGACCAAAAGAAATGCTTATACATATAACCCATGTCCGTGTGCCCAAACCAACAGACTTCCAACTTAATCAATGTTAAGCGACGACAAACACAAACGACGAAAGACGAAACGACAATATTTGAGGATTGCCATGGGGCCAGGGTTGCCAGACGATTTGCCAGGGCAAAGCTAAAGCTATGGCCAAGCTGCAAAAAGTAGATTAAATAAATTTAAAAGAAAATCTCCCAGCGCGGCGCTCCACTCAAATGAAATGATTTGCTTGGCAATGACTTTTCCTTTTGATGGCCCTACAGGAATGACAGACCAGAGACGCCTTAGTCATTTATTTGCTGCACCATGGCAACCCTGGGCTGTCAGTGCTCCCCTGCGGGCAAGCGTTTTTTCCCACGCAGCACAAAAGTATGCTATAGAAAAAATGTGAGTGCGCTGCCGCTGCCTGACTGCCTGGCTGCCTGGCTGCTTGCATTTTTGCGCAACTGCAAGGAGAAACACACACAAAAAAAAACGACGACGATGAACAGGACGAAGACGATGCCAGGATGCACAAGAGGGATGGTGGGGCAGAAAGGCTGCAGGGAAAGGATGAGAGGTCAGGGCAAAAGGAAAACTAGTGTAGATACGTGCGAAAAGTGCACGAAAGGCTAGGCCAAGGAAAAGCCAGCCATAGACCATAGAGGCAAAGCAAAAGGGGGGAAAATGGAGCATGTAGAGACAGAGAAACGTATACATATGCATGTGTGTGTGTGTGTGTGTATACACATTTCAGGATGTGCATGTGTGTGTGGAAGTGCAAACAGATCCAAGTGGAAAAGGTGCTCGATGTTGGATGTGGCTGCTGCTGCTGCCAAGTGAAAAACGATGCCTAGACAATGATAAAGTGAAAATGCACACTGGGAAGCAAACATGGATGAAAACTGAGAATGAGAGAGAAGCAGAGAGGCAGAGAGAAAGAGCAGCAACAAACAAACACACGAGCAGCAGGAGCTGGAGCGAGAGTTCAACAAGCTTAAGACAGCTTTTGGGGCGCAGGCAACGGGAAGTGGCTGTTGCCCCCCATCGCTCCAACACGACAGGAAGTGCATTTCGGATGCTTCCCTGTTTGTCCCCTGGCTAACCCCAACTCCCCACCGCCCAACCGCCCTATCGCCTGACGCCCTTTTCCCCTTGTTTGATTTTCCTTTAGCCTGTTTTGATTTTCCCTTCTGTTGTGTGTGGCACCAAGCGAGGGACAAAGGAACTTGACGCGTTCCGCCAAACCAACGCGTTACTCAAAGACATTTCTCGGATGTTTGCCACTCCCCCAACCCGACTGCCTCTGCTGCTGTGTTGTTGTTTAAGCCGCTTTAAGCCTTAAATAAATGTTATGTTTATTAAAGACTGGGAAACATTTGCACTTGAGAAATGCCCTCAGGCAGTTTTTGGACAGTTTCCAGTGGGGGATTTGTGTGCAGATTGCCAGGCAATGTCGGTTAGTGTCGTTTGTGGCAGAGCACCCAAAATTGAATTTGTTGTTGGGTGGAACAGCAAGTGCCACCACTTAAGAGAGCTTAAGGCAGCGCAGTGATAGGTGTCAGATCGAAGACTGAGGAACCTAGGGGCTCCCCACACTAGAGGGTACACTGAATTCGTTGCTGATTTCCATGGGCTGCGATGCTCGCATCTCCTTTCAATCAACCATTCAACCATTCCAGGAGCGTTCACAACAGAAACTTTCTATTGACACCGCTCTGCGTCCGGTGTGTGGGAGGGGAATGCCCTTCCTTATCGTTGCTGCAGCACTGTGGGGGAGGATGGTGGGGGAAACAGCATTCCTGAAAGCCTTTTTCTTCCAGCAATTCAAAGCAATTTGATTTCCATTTGAGATATTTGCTGGAGGGAAAAGGAAAACAACTACAAAACTGTTGCCAATTTCGGGAAAAGGGTTGCGACACGACACCCAAAACGCAGACACACACACAGAGAGACACTCACAGCCACCATTTACCATTCACCTTCTTGCCACATTTGCTACAGACTGAAAGGATGAGGCTAGAGAGGATGAAACGTTGAGCAGTTGGCCAAACATTCGGCAAACATTGTTAAAAAACTTTCAAATGAAAAGGTTAATTGAAACAAAAGGGACTTGATGGCAAAAGTTTAGCCGAGAGCGCGTCCATTTCGAACCGCCTACCAGCCACGCCTTTTACACCCCCACCACTACCCCCCACAATGTATGCATCAGGCAATCGCAGGATCCTTCGTCCAGGGAATGGCGGCTTATGGCTGGGAAGTGGGCGATTGCAAGGGCCAATCAGCGTCGCATTAAAAACGCCACACAAAGCAAAAGTTTTGCACGATTTAGAAATATTCACGTGGCATTGCAGCAGCATGGAAGAGGGCTGTGGGGAATGGCCAAGGGCAGGCGCTGAGTGGCGTAGAAGTTGGTCAGGAACTGTGGTCCGTCGGTGCGCTCCGTGGGTGGTATAAGGTGTGGGGTGTGGCAAAAGTATTTGCGAAAAATCTTTTACCCCCTTCGCGAGCTTACTGCCAAATGAATTTAAATTTTCTGTGGTTTTTCGCTGGTTTTTCTGGGTTCACAGATTCATCGTGTTGGGGTCTTGCTGCTGCTTTTTTTGTGCCATTTTTTTGCGAGCTTTGTAATTCTGCAAAAGGCGGATAAACTTTGGGGAGTGACGGGCGTTGCCCTTATTTACATGCACATACGAGCATAGCCTACCATTTAAAATATTAGAGATACCTAACACGCAGGGAGAATATAGAGTATTTATCGCTGTACACTGCCATATGCCATGACATTTGCAGCCTCAATCCTTCATTTCAATGCCATAAAATGGCCGAAGGTTATGGCAGGACTTGAGGGAAGTTTTTCGTTGGGAAAATGTATTATTATGAGTAAGTAAAACTCATTTAAAAATGCATGAAAGTACCTTTCAGTGTATCAAAAGTTTCGCATTCTAAAATTTGTTTTCCTTTTTGGGTTTCATCTTTTGCATTTGGATAAAAGCGCGTAAATTGTGTGGAGTGGCTGGTGGGTGTCCTTTTTTTGTTCTTGTTTAATTATAAGTCCTTCATTATATCCTAACCGCTGCTTAAAAACCACCGAAGCTGCCCCACGCAAGCCCTTTAGTTTCATCTGACATTCGCAGCAGCAGGAGCAGCAGCAGCAGCACGTTTCTGGCTCTGTGTGTGCTTTGATTTTATTCGGGTCGTCAGTCTGCCCTCTAGCCCCACACCCGTAGCCATTCCGCTTGGCATCCTTGTGCTTTGGGCTCCTCTGTAGTTGCACGACCTTTAGGGGGTGGAGCGGTGTGTCCCCCACGCAAGGGACACGTTGCGGGCACTTTAAGGACGCGACGCGACGCGCTTTGCATAACCAAACCGAAGGATGCTGTCTTGACCTTTCACTGACTTTGCCTTTTCAATTTGTTGCTCCATTTCCAGAAGCTGATTGCCACAAATACGGCAATAACAAATTACCCCCACGGAGCCAGGCCTATGGAATAGCCACGCCTGTAATGCAAACTAGTCAAGCATTAGCTGGAGGAGGAGCTGTAGCTGGAGTTGGAATTGGAGTCCCTAAGCGCTCAGCCGGAGGACATGTGATAAAGCAGCAGCCAGCAGCAGCAGCTGCGCCTTCTTCCCTGCCTCTACCCGTAACGCTGCCACCACCCGCAGCACCGCCGCTGATGCAGCAGCCGAACTTCAAGGACGATCCCGCCGGATACTTGCAGCAGCAGACAGTCTTGCTGCACAATACGCTGGGTGGAGGCCTGGATACGGTCGTGAAAGAGGTGACCGTGTCGGCCACATTCACAGCCAGAGCACAGCCACAGGAGCCCATTGTGCACAGCTCCCAGCAGCAGCAACAGCAGCAGCAGCAACAGCAGCAGCAACAACTTCAACAGCTGCAGATACAGCGCCAGAGGATACGAAGGCTCTCGGTGTTTGGCGGCAAGTGGGAAGCGGAAGCGGTGGGTGGCAATGTCTCCTCCAATGGAATGTCCTCCGGACAGCGCACACTGCAGGTGGATACGCAGGCCTTTGCGCGGCCCCAGAAGCCACAGATTACCAGCGTCACGGTGGTGCCACCACCCCAGGAGTCACCCGTCTCGAGCAGTGCAGCTGTGCTGCAAGAAGCTGTGGAGAAGCGGCCCGAGCAAGTGGGCGCCATCTCCACCAGTCACGAGAGTCCCAGGCAGAGCTTGTCCTCGCCCACAGACTCGCTGCTGGATTCGGGCAAGAGCACGCCCTCGCCATCACCAAAGCCACAGCAGCAGCAGCAGCCGCAGATCCTGCAGATGCGTACCCAAGGGCAAATACAGGGACAGGTGAGCGCACCCGCTCCACAGCTGCGTGTGATGCGCCAGCAGCAGCAGACTCTTAGCGGACAGCGGCTGACTGTGGCCAGCAGCAATGCCGTGGCCACGATGACGCGCAGCATTGTGACCACCACGGCGGGCACTGGGATCACGGGTCGACCGATCACCACGCTGAGCAGCTCGCAGGCCGGAATGGCGCAGCTCCAAGCGATGGCCGGACAAATGTCAGGCGCCACGAATGGTGGCAGTCAGCTGATAATGACTTCATCCGGCCAGCTGCTGGTCATTCCGGGGCCACAGCACAGCAAGCAGGGGAATCCGCATCAGCAGCAGCATCATCAGCGGGCGGGTATCATCCAGCAGCAGCATCACCAGCACCAGGAGCTGCATCCGCAGCCGGGAGGCGGCTACATTGTGAGCCAAGCCTCGCCTGTGGGTGCAGCCACCTCCAGCAGCGGCAGCAGCAACACGGTGATCCTCAACTCTGGGGGCAAGCTGCTGCACCACCAGATCATAACCTCGCAGGCGGGACAGAGCTCTGGAGGAGGTGCAGGAACAGGTGGCCAAACTGTTCTGCTCAACACGCTACCCAACGGCGGCTACATCGTCCATCAACAGCAGCAGCAACATCATCCACAGCAGCAGCAGCAACATCTGGAGCAAGTGCTAGCCATGCCACATCCTGGGGCAGTGCCACCGCATGGCCAGACGCTGATCATCAGCTCGCCAGAGTCCAAGCGGAGGCCGCGCAAGCGCAAGAGTTCTGTGTGCCATACGCCGCCACCGTCGAGTGGTGGATCCCCCGCCAAGACGCTCTCCCCCCAAATCTCGCCCAGCATACCCAGCCAGGCGCCCGGAATGCTCCATCAACAGGCGGCAGCTGCCGCAGCAGCCGCTGCTTCTGCATCTGCACCACAGTTCCAGCAGCAGTTCCAGCTGAGTCCCGGCATCCAGGGCATAGTCGTGAACAAGGCCAACTCCTCGGGCCCGCAGCAGACGCAGCAGCTGCTGCTGCAGAACGGGCAGATCCTGCAGCAGGTTAACCTCATTGGGCAGCAGCTGTTGATGCCCGCGGGCCTGGTAATGGCACCAGACGCCACGCTGCTGCAGATCCAGAACATGCCCGCAACCAGCCTGATGACGCCCCAGGGGCCCGTGATGCTGCGTACGCCGTCACCACAGAGCAAGCCATCCTTCATTTCGCCTGGAGGCGGCGGTCAGCAGTACATTGTGGGTGCCAATGGGCAGTTGAGTCCCATTGGACAGATATACTCGACGCCCATGGGTCTGGTGATGCCCACGGGGCAGCAGGGTGGCGGCTCCACTTTCGTGCAGGCGAGTCCCACGACAACCACCATTCAGATCCAGCAGCAGCAGCCATCACAGCAGCAGCAGCAGCAGCATCAGCATCAGCAGGCGCAGCAGATCAGTCTGCAGCAGACACAGGCCACCACCTATCTGACGACAGACTCATCGATGGGTCGCCAGGGAACGGCGGCCAGTCCGCCAGACACCACCACATGCAGCCCGCGCAGTCCGGAACGACCGCCCAGTCATCGGAGCACTGGCAGTGATATGGTTTGTGGATACACTCCTCTCTGGTGAAGATCTCTTGACTCATTCTTTAACTATCTTTTTCGCGGCAGGTGCAATGCGTCTCCAGCTCGGAACCGGATGCAGCTGTCTCACCGCTGAGTGTCGAGAGTCGGCAGTCGCCATCTTCCACAGATTGTGAAAGGAGTAAGTATTGCTAATCAGACATGTGTGGCAAGTGGCAGCCATTCTCTAATCTAATCATTCTCTTATGCTTCTTTCAGGCTTTGGCAACAGCAACAATCTCTTTACGCAGCCAAGTGGGATGTACAAGCATACGGAGCCAAAGATACGACGGATACACATCACATCGCAGGCGACGGCAGAGAACGGGATGAGCCTGATGGGCCAAGGTATGCGTTTGGCCAACTCCAGCTCCCATTCGAACAGCACATCCGCCTCCATGCCCATTTCCATGTCCATAACATCGTCATCCTCGTCGTCGTCATCGTCGTCGTCCACTGGCTCCACTCAAGTGGCGGGGGCACAGGGCCAGAGCCAGGGCCATCGCCCATTCATGCACCTTCGACAGCCGCCGATCGGGCAGCACAATAACAACAGCCACAGCCACCATAACAGCAACCACAACCACAACACCAGCACCACCACCTTCCTCCATAGCCACAAAGTAGTTAACATTGATTACCAGGGTAAGGCCGCCGAAAGGAGCGCACCTCTAATGTCCAGCACTAATTGCATCCACCACAAAACACTAACCATCCACATGGCCAAGACGCCACTCGGCGCAATGACCACTGCATGATCGGCCTTGTACACTTTTAACGCTCTTAATCCTCTCCGCTCTGCCTGCTTGTAATCCTCCTCATCCTCTGGTGCTGGGATCGCCTCTTCATTTAGCCCCATGTCGTCCACCCAAGTCCAAGTCTCTATGTGCCTCTGTGTGCCTTTCGTAGAGTCGCCCAGCACAACAGCAACAGCAACAGCAGCCATGGCACCAGGCGCCACATCCTCCACCACGATGCCGGAGGCCAAGACCAAGACCAAAACCACACCAACGAAACGTTCGCGTCGTCCACAGCGCAGCTCTGGCCGTGGCACATGCAACAGTGCCACTGGCACTCCATTAATGCCGCCACGATCGTTTGCAATTGGGGAACTTATATGGGGTCCGGCACGCGGACATCCCGCCTGGCCTGGGAAGATCGTCAAGATGCCTGACGGCGTGTGCACGCCATCGCAGCAGTTCGATCACGTCTGGGTGCAGTGGTTTGGTGGCGGTGGCCGCTCCACCTCTGAACTGATTCCGGTCAACTCATTGCAAAGTCTCTCCGAGGGTCTGGAGGCTCATCACAAGGCCCAAAAGGATACCAGAAAGTGAGCATCCATCCGGTTGAAGAGTGGGGGGAAACAACACAACTCAGAAGGGGGATCTAGTTCAATGGAAGAAGTTTTAGGGAACACCAGAGGACCAGCACCGTAGACTAGAAACATTATTCGAAGTAGATATAATATTTGTTTGTTATATTTCCTTTAAATGAATGTAATTTTTATACCTTTTTATTATAGATTTATAGCTAGAGTTTTATTTTACCTTTTGCCATATGCGTGCCCATTACGTGTCCTAGCAATTTGTAGCACATTTTTTTGATAATTTTGTAGTTGTTTTATTTTGAGAGTTTGATTAAGCCTTTGATAAGTAGATAGACTTTTGTTGTTTTAAGCATTCTTTGATTTACTTTACTCTCTGTGTATTTGACTTTTTAATTTTGCTAATTAATATTCTCGTTTCTTTTTTTTTGATATGCGCTGAACCTGAACCAAAATTATATCCTGCCCTGCCAACCCCAACGTGTATAACTCTGTGTGCGTGCGTGTGTGTGTGTCTATATGCATAACCAACAACATCATCATCATCACCACTCGACACTCGCAACTCGCCAAAAAAAATATATAAAAACACAACCCAAAAACCCACAAAACACTCCACTCCACTCCACACTCCACTCTCCCCAACCATCATCAAACCACAAAGGAGCCGCAAACTGAACTCGCAACTCGAGCGGGCTATACAAGAAGCAATGACTGAGTTGGATAACATTTCAGCCTCCTCGATACCCACATCCGTAGCCACATCGGCGGCAGCATCCTCATCCGCTGCTTCTCCTCCGACAGCAGGACCAGCAGCAGCATCAGTAATTCAGCAATCGCCCCCACAGCCCTCTTCAACGAACAACAAAATAAATGGACTGGCGCGGAGCAAGCGGCAGCAGGCCAACACAAGTGGAGCCAGCAGCATGGTGCTGACCGCCAGCACGGCAGCCACACTGAGTGGCCTCTTCAATCAACAGCAGCAGCAGCAGCAGCAGCAGCAGCGAGCCAAGCCCATACGCATTGCGCCCGCTCCACCATCCGCTTCAGTGGGCATGGGAACAGTCGGAGCAACAGTCACGACAGTGACTGCCAATGGAGGATCAGAACTTGCTGCTGGTGGCAGGAAAGAGATCCTGAAGCTGGCCAAATGACCAGCGCTGTCGGCGTTGTCGTCGACAGTAAGCACAGCGAACTATACGCTCGTTATTGGGCATAAGTAGGGGGAATTAGTGGAGTCCAGCTTGGCCTGGCCATATACTTAGTATATATACTTACCGCATATGAATGTGTATCAAGGTACAAGTAGAAAATCAGTTTAGTTAGATGTCTTCCTCTGGCTCAGCTTGAGACAGAGTGTCACTTTGGAGTTGGTTGTTTTCTATTGTTTAACATACAGACCCACAAGACTCCCTGCTTAGTTGCGTCGCCGGGCGGCGCTGCCACACATTTGAAATAGACAATAATGCATCAAGAAAATGTTAATCGAAATCAAGTTACAAAGGAAGGTTCTAACCATAAGCGAGAGATAGATTTGGTTGCTTCTTAGACAGCGCTTCGGCGCAGAATTTAAGTTGTTTTGTATATACATAAAAACATTTATACATATATATCCCTTATCCATAACAGATTGTACATGTTAAGTATTTATTTATTGCGTATAGATCTTAGGTTCATTTAGGTTCTTGTTTTCGTTGCAATTTGTAGACCTAACCATTATTTTTATAAATAGGTAACCTATAAATAGATGACATTTTTGCCACTAAGTTTAGCACTGGATAACCATCAATTACTCAATTATGTACTTTTGGCTATACCAAACAAGTCCGTACAAAAACAAAAACAAAATAACGAAAGAATCAAAATCAGCTGCCGTTTCTCATACCATACAAATTGGTGCACGGTAAACCCCAATATACAACAAATTATTTATGTCGTACCCAAATGCAAGCAGCACACCACCACACACTGAGCAAATCGCGTAAAGAAGCATATAAAGAGAAATTATATTTATAAATTGTTATTATTTATTTAGTTGAAACTATTGTAAAATTATAGTTGTACAACAGAATGCAAGAAACGAATTCACACTTAGCGGAACCACAAAAACAAATAAATTAATAAATGGAAAAACCAAACAACGTAATATTTCATTATTTTTGGATGCTATACAACTATCAACTGGATGTTAGTAGGCGGTGCATAATAAATACAAGACTGGCTTTGGAGCTCAAACCTTCTTGAGAACTGTGTAAAATAAAGGTTTTTTTTGCCCCGAAATATAAAGGTGAACACAAAAAACCAAACTGTTGCTCTACATTTTGGTTGTTGTTATTGTTGTACAACAAAAGTTTTCACAACCACATCAATCTTTTAAACAGTGGCGCCCCCGCTATTGTCGCTGATTTCTTGAACTACATTTTCTCTGCTGACGGTTCACATCAGATCTAAAGATTAGATCGATTGCCCCTACTGGAACTAAATTAGATTAGTTCGAGAAGTTAAACTAATTTTGGAATATCAGGACGTGAGACGTGTCCTTGCAATCCGTAAAATTTTCAGCATCCTTTGCGGGCAGATATCTTTTGACATTAAAAGCTATAAGGATATGCATTTTTAAAGCTCTTTTGTTTAATCACTTTAAATGTATCATTAAATCACAATGTATAAATAATAGCTTGTTGTTTTTTTAAAGATTTATTTCAATTTGTAGTAACTTGACAATATTGGTTGTTTTTATATCTTATAGGCTGGTGATCTGGTTAAATTGCAAATAATGTAATTTATAATTAATATTTATGTAATATTAAACTAACTCACAATCATTTGAATTAAGTATGTTTAGTATATGGACATACATATACTCTCCCTAAGGTCCATACGATATTATAGTATGTAATGGATAAATGTATGTGTTGATTTTTCGATACTCGATAATAGAACGAAAACGAACAAAACGGATTGGCGCGATAATTCTACACATCTGAAAACATCTCGTATTCTAAAGAGAAAAAATGACTCTGGGCCTGGTCTGCTACCGAATTTACACAAAAAAGACGCAACAACGCTCTTGATGCATACGGGGCTGGGAGGGGGGCGGCATAACAATTTCTCTTTACACTTTACACTTACATATGTACATCGGTACATGAATGGAGTGGAGTGTGGGGTACGAGTGATTTAATGGCATGCATTAGCTTACAGATCACGCTCTCGAAATGGTAAATGGTGTACATTTTGTATTTAATTAATTACAACTTAGTCGAGATCCCAATGACAGGGTGGGTGCTGCTGATGCGGGATGCATATGCATTTCAACTAGCGCGTTAGCGACTGACTTCTTATTTTATTACATTTACAATTGTATCTTCGTTTAATCATTGCAGTCGTTGTGTTGCTTCCATCTCGAGGTGCGCACATTTCAATGACATTTACAATTAGGCTGGGGCTCGCTGGTTCATTACCAAGCAGTGTCGGTGTCGGGATGTGGATGGGGGAGACGCACCGCACTATCAATATTATACACGATTTGGTTATCATTACAAAACAAACACTATTGGCGGGTATGATACAATGCACAGGCGCACTCGTGGCGCTACACAGCTCTGAATGATGCACAGCAACGTGCGCATTCTAATATGATAGAATATTGTATGTATGTATGTATATGAGAAAACAGATTTTTGTATAAGAAACTTTTCTATACAAGTCAAGTTAACAAAACTAAGAAGTAAAAGACTTTTAGCACTTAAAATAGGGTTCGCCGTTGTGGTCGCTGCGCTTGCTCTCCATTTATGTTGCTCCAGGACGTTCCTGTCCCTGGACGTCTGTTGTCGCGCTGTGTTTTTGCTTTTGTTGTTGTTGTTGTGTATGTTTGCATGATTGGACGCTTGATTAACGTTGCCTGTCAACAATAACCAAATCGCTGTAATTCTCATCTGGACAGACTGTGCGATCGCTCGCGGCTGCTGCTTCCCGAGGAGAGGGGCTGCTTGCTGCTCACTTCACCAACCCGCTGGTGCGGTGGCAGCCTGTCAAAAAAGGGATGGCGTAGGGCCTCACCTGAAAGAATGAATGAACAGATTCGATTAGCACAAACCCCAATTGGATAGCATTGTCGATCACTTACCTAACGTGATGCGGGATGATGGCTCATACTCCAGCATTTTCTTGATCAAGCCAAACAGCTCGCAGTGGTCCTCGCTGTCGCTCAGTTGGCACAGGAACAACGGCTTGCAGTGGTCGCGCACATAGCGTCCCGCACTGGACTTCTCATCCCAATCCAACTTACCATGGTAGAAGTACTTTGTTTTGGTTTTGCTATAAAGAGTATGGTTGCTACACATTAGACGATTTCGGTGAAGGGAACTGCGCTTTAGAAAGTGAAAGCATGAGCTGCATTGTATTACCGTGCCATGCGATATGGTATTTGTCCCAAGATGCGCTCCATCATGGCCAGATGCTCGCGATTGTCGTGCGTTTGGAAGAGTGTGATTCCCAGATAAAGTTCAAATAAGATGCAGCTATATCAAGAATATAATTACAGTTTAATTAAATATGCAAATTATCCTCCAAGCATTTAATAAACTTCTTACCCAATGGACCAGACATCGCATGGCTGTGACCAGCCCAGCTCCAGTATGACCTCGGGCGCGCGATAATGTCGCGTCGAGACAATTGTGCTGTGGTGCTCATGATCGAAGGTGGCCGAACCGAAGTCAATCAGACGAACGTCCGTGTTCTTGACACGTCGAACCTCCCGGTTCTGCTGGATAAAGAAGCGTGTTATAATTTATGGTTCAACCGGAGAGCTGCTTATGATTTTTACTCACAATCTTATGATTATAGTGAGACGAATAATCCGAATCCACAAACAGTATGTTCTCCGGCTTGAGATCTGTATGCGTTAAACGATTGTCATGTAAAAATTTCACAGAGTAGCATAATTGATAGGCCATGTGACGCACTTGGTCCAGCGGATATGGCTCATAGTTGTTCTCGCGCTAAACAAGTATCGGAAATCACAAACAGAATTAGACAAATCAGAAATATTTATTTCTCAATCTATAGTTTACTTACCAAAAAATCGAAAACACTTAGACCCAACATTTCAAAAACTATGCACATGTGTCCATGGTAATCAAACCAGTCAACCATTTTCACGCACAAGCTGTACGATAGAGAGAAATTGTATATTAGAGCATTGATCAGTAAGTTAGAAATATAATTGCAGCACTCACTGATCACAATGCGGATCCTTTTGTGCAATCTTCTCCAAAGCGTTGATCTCCAGCTTGGCCGCTTCGCGATACTTTTCCACATTCTTGATAATCTTTAAGGCCATGCAGTAATCACTGAAAAGGGTGAAGAATCATTAGTTACAGCGCTTAAGAATCACTTAAGACTTCACACTTACCGCTCCATGTCTTTGACCTTGACCACACGTCCGAAGGTGCCCTCGCCGAGTGTGGCCATGATCTTATCTGAAATTTGGCAAAAGGAAGGCGTTTTTGTAGTAGTGTCTCAGCCAATTGCATCAAGAGTAGTTGGTGTTAAACGTTAGTTAGTACTGTCTGTTCTAAAGCTAAAACCTGTATAGTAACTTGTAACTAAATACTGAGTACTGAATCATACGATGAGGTCTGGTGTGTGCACACCCAATAACCGAATCGGAGGACTCTAAACAAAGTGTGCGCAAATGAGTTTCAGTTTTGTTTTCATTTTCAATATTATTTCGTTAATTATATGTTTTGGGTGGCGCGAGAGCGAAAGTTTTCTCCAAATGGGGGGAAACAAATTTAGTTTGAGACAAAAGTTTAATTCAAAGACAAATTGCTTGAAAGGAAGTAACTGGCGTGAAAATTGTGTGAAAAATTTCAATGCGACGCGACGCGATTTTTCAACCTTTCTGTTGGCGTGTGTGTGTGTGTGTGTGTGTGTGTGTGTGTGTGTGTGGATAATTAACAAATAATAAAGAAAACTTGGAAAGAGTTTGAACTAATAAGAGAGTTACGAGTAGAGAAGAGAGTAGGAGTAGAAATAGCCTTTTGTTTTGCTTTTCTCTGGTTATTTTTTCTTTTTCTTTTCATTTTTTTGGCTTTAACTTTTGACTATTTGAGTGTTTTTCTTTTCTTTTCTTTTCTTTTTTTTCTAAACATAAGTATGGAAGGAAAATTAAAAACAAAAAATTGTCACGAACATCTGTGGTGGAGAATGTCTCCGGTGTGGTAAATTAAGTGACCATCAGCATCATCTTGGATGACGGGCTTGGCTGTCTGTTTGGGCAAGCGAGCATTCGAGGAGCGGAGGAGCAATCGAAGACGACGACGACGACGACGACGACGTGGACGTGGTTGTTGTTGCAGTAGTTGTTGTCGTTGGTTGGATGATTGGTTGGCGGTGGCATTGCATTGCATTGATGGGTGGTGCATTCGTTGATCCGTTGAGAGGTAGCGAAACGACGGCGGAGCAGACGAGGAGCGAGCGAATTTGGTAGTGGGTTGTTGCAAGGCGGGGCGAGGCGAGGGGGCGTAGTTGTTGTTGTTGTTGTTGTTGTCGATGTGGCAGATCGGTGATGGGTGGCAGATACAGACGCGTACACAGAAAGTGCGTTGTGTGTGCGTGTGTGGCAATAAGTATGTAATTTGAAAGAGAGAAAAAGAAACAAAAAAAGAAAGAGAAAAAAGAAACAAAAATAGATATATATATTCGATCCGATTGTCCGGCAGCAGCAGGAGCAGATGGTCCACAAATAGTCGTGCATAGGTCCAATCAATTTAGTCCACAAGGATCCACAGGAGGATGAAGTTCCAGCGTTGGCACCACAGCAATCGCATTACCATTTACATCCATTGTAAATATTCCACACCAAGACCAACCAATTCCAATCATCCAATCATTCCATTATCGATTATCATCATCATCATGTTGAGAGCGCACATCATCATCATAAACCCATCATCATCATCATCATCATTGTGATTTACATCATCATATTCAGAAAAAACACGAGAAAAATACGTTTCGTTTGTTCGATAAGAAAATTAGTTCGGACAAATTTGTTTTGAGATTTGTGTGTTTTTACAAAAGTGGTTAATATTCAACAATAAAACAATTACAACAAAGATCATAAAATATGTCAAATATAAATATAACGCATATTGCATACATAACGCTGCATATATATATATGTTTATTTAGTTCTATATAAAGATGTTTGAGTGTGCATATAGAAACTTTCATCTATATTCTGTGTCTGTGTAGAGGGCAATCAAAAAATCAACAAGGAAACCCCCTTCATTTTTTTTTTTTTTGGGTTTTGCTAGTTTTTTGTATTTGTTTATTTATTATTTGTATAGCTTCTTGCTGAGAAGCAGAACTCATTTTGGTAAAAGAACAAATAAAGTGCTGAAAAGATTGTTCGTAAAAGGTCAGTCGTTTTCGTGGTCACAGTAATTATTGGTGGTTTTGTAGCTACTACTACATATGCGTTGTTCAACACTGCAAACGAAGGAAGTTCTCATTGTAGGTGAGAGAAAGCGTTCAGGAAAGGTGAAAAATCAATTTCAGTTCATATGTATCTAATCAATCGATAAAACTACATTTATAAGTCATGTTCAGTTGGGTGTTGTGTGTTAAGGTTTATGCAATGTTCTCTTACGTTTTATTCCTGGTTTTAGTTTTAGTTGCATGCAAAACAAAACGATCGCTCGAGAGGCAGGGCTTAACATTTCTCTGTTAGTTTAACATTCAACAAGAACACGATCCACCGGGATCCACTGGGCGGCTGTTAGCTTTTTGATCTGTAAGTCTCTTTGAAGGCGAGTAGTTTTGAGAGGAACGGGGGTTTTGAGATTTGGGGAGGTAGCAGTTGCAGTTGCAGTTAGGGGCAGCCGGCGCAAAACAAAGCTCAACGAAGCTGCACCATCGATAAGACGGCATGGCATTGGGGGGATTACAACGTCTGCTTACAAAGGTCGAGAGTGTCTTTGGAATGCGTGACCTGTGGAACAGCGCCGACGAGGTGGCGCTCTTCGACAGCAGGTAGTGATCCTGCTGCTGCTGCAGATAGTGCGACGAGGCTGAGGATTGCTGCTGCTGCTGCTGGTGGTAGGCATCCAGGTGGGGCCGCTGATAGAGCGAGCTGCCCGACGCCAGACCATTCGTACGCCGACTGCTGCCGTACGGATCGGAAAGGTAACTCGAACCGGAACCCGATCCAAGGCTGGGCTTGTAGCGATCGAATTCGCTCAGCACGGCAGCGGTGCGGGAGCTGGCGCCCTGGTACCTCTGCTGCTGGCGCCGTGCATCCGCTGCCGCCAGTCGCGCCCCGATACCGCCAAAGGCCAAAGCTCCGGAGCTGGAGGAGTGCGTGAGGAGGTTGCTTGTGGGCTTGTATTTGGACAGGTCATTGTTATTGCGATCTGAGGAGTGGAGGGGCAGAAAGCGGCTCTTGTTGGTGATGCTAGAGCCAACTGCTGCTGCTGCCTGTGCTGTTGTTGCTGCTGCCGCTGCCGCCGTGTGGTTGTTAGAGAGTGGAGCAGAAGTGCTAGTGGATGATGTGGTGGTGGCTAATGGAGGAGTTGTTCTAGTAGTGCCATTGACAGAGGTAGTAGGAGTTGGAGGAGTGTTGGCCTTGTCTGTTGTTTTGTTGGTGGTGGTGGAGTTGGCTGTGTTGCATGTTGTGTGGGTTAGTTGCACACCAGTCCCCGAATCGGTGGTGGTTTCGGTTTCTGTATCGCCATCAACCTCGTCAGAGCTACTCTCCGACGTGCTGGAGGAGCCACTGTCACCATCATCATCGCTGTCGTCTGTAGTTACTTTTTTGCTGCGCGACTTCTTCTTGGGTGCCGCCTCCTCCTTTGGCACCTGCAGAGCAGCTGCTGCTGCTGCCACTGCTGCTGCCGCTGCTGCTGCCTCCTTTGCTTTGGCAATAGCTTCTTGCTCCAAGGCGGCCGCCGCTTCAGTCTTCTTGGCCTCCGCGGCCGCTTCCTCCTCACGCTTGACGCGTTCCCGCAGCTCTCGGCGCTTTCGCATGCGCTCCTCAAACTTCTTGGCCTCGAGGAACTGATTGTCCTCCCGCAGGAGCATCAGAATGGCTGCATTGTCTTCCGAGGAGCGATCGTCGGCTAGGATCTCACGCTCTTCGGCCGTCAGTTCAGGCGGGGGCTGCTCCCTGCGGCGGTGGGCGAAACGGTTCCTCGAATTCAGCGGACGATCCTCCATGGATGCCGCTGCCGCTTTTCGCCCGCTCTCCATTATCTCGGCGGCCAGCAGATTCTCGCTGGTCTTTGTCCGGCCATAGGCGCGACTCGTGCGGCCACCAAATGGTGCTGCTGCTGATGCCGGCTCATCTTCTCCTGCTCCTCTCCGTCCGTAGCGACTGGAGGGATAGCCCGAGGCACCGCCCAGACGCAGGGCATCGTGGTAGTCATATCGACTGCTGTAGTCCACCGGGTAGTTCTCGTCCAGCAAGCGATTGCCACTGGTCAGATAGCCACTGTCGTTGGAGTCGGCCATGTAGCCGGCGCGCTGTCGCTGCGCCCGCGTGCGGTACGGCGTTCGCTCCTTGCGATCAGCGGCATTGAAGGAGCTCGAGGAGAGCTTCGATTTGGCCAACTGGTGGGCAGTGGCCGAACGCACCAGCCCACTGTTGCCACCATAATCGTCCGGCTCCAGGGTTTTGTCGCGATCTTCCTCATGGCGACGTCTCCCGGCCGTACGCTCAAGTACGTCCGAATATTTATTCTCCAGGCGGGAGATGGCCGACTGTTTGCCAGCTCCAGATCCCACTCCCGATGTGGTGGGCGTTTTATCTCTGTCCAGTTGGTAATCCCGACGCTGTGCGTCACACACAAAGAGAAAACCAGACGGAGAAGTGCACAGGTGGGATTTAGATATGGTTTGAACGTTGGATTAAATGGTTAATGGAGAGGGAAAGTGCTTAAGATCGCCGCTCGTGTGAAACCAACGGTAACGACGGGCGTAAAACACTCTTTACGCTCTGTCTGCTGAGCACACGCTCCACAAAAGAAGTGCCAAACGACAGACGCCAGTAGCCAGACACCAGACCAAGACCTAGACCCTAGAGACGAGAGTCGCGCACTCGGAGCCAAATGTTGGAACCATTTAAACGGCCTTTTCGGCAATGGCTAATTATGGTCTTTTCGGGTGCCTTTTCTTTTCGCACTGAAATTAAAGTGGCGGCTTTCTCTCTCTCTCTCTGTTGGTAAAGTATTCTTGTGGCATGCACGCACTCACAGTGGCAACAGAGAGAGAGGAGAGAGAGAGAGTGAAGCATGTGGCCTAAGGAGATACCCTTTATTTTCATTTCAAATGCCTTAGGCGAAAAAATCTAAACAAAAAACCGTCCACGGCGCGACGACCTTCAAAGTTTATACATAAACTCGTATAGAAAAAAATCGTGAAAACTATACACACATCTCTGAGATCTCAGCGATAGAGATACACACAGACTAGACCCAAAATACATGCATATATCTTCCTATATGGCAGAGAGGCAGAGGAAGGCAGTGGCCAGAGGCTGTTGGTATCGAAAATAAATTCGACAAACGTAAACGCACACGGCACAGAATGAATTTGTGAGATATAGAATATATCGGGCGGGGGGTGGCATATATAGGAACACGCTCGCTATAAAACGCAGACCGTGTGGGTTCCGATAGCTACAAGTATACGAATATATACATCTGACAGTCTATACGCGAGGGAAAACTTTCTATAATATAGTATGTGTGGCAATGGGCAATGAATGGAGGTTGCCACTGCACTGCAAGCACTGTTCTGCATATACAAATGTCTACAATGTTTTCCTCGGCAGAGGTTACCAGTTCTACACTTGCCAAAGATTTAGGTCTGACTCTGAGTCATGGACAGGTGAGAAGATCTCTCCTCTGCAGAAGTATTCCAAAATATGAAATGCCCAACAGGTGAGTCATGTGTCTGGCTGACTGAGGTCCGTCGCATCCATTGGTTTGCACACCGCTCTGTAGCACTTTCTCGCTCGCTCTCGCTTTGCGGCTGTTTATGGATACTAACATCATCCAGGTCCCGATCCCTGTCCCGCCGGCCACCCCCCAGGCCACGTATCAGCGGCTTGTAGTAACCGCCCACGGGACTGAGGTGGGTGCGCAGTCTGTCCAGGGCGTTTGCTGTGGTGGAGCTCTTCTGGTAGCGACCCATGATGGCGGCGGTGCTGCTGCCACTCCCGCTGCTGCTGGTTGGGTGGTAGCCCAGTCCACCGCCTGGATAGTAACGTCTGTGGCGATCGCTCATGGCGTTATCCCGTTCCCGTTCTCGTTCCCTGTCCCGATCGCGATCCTTTTCCGCTTCCGGGTTTCTCCGACTGGAGGAGCTGGAGGACTTATCCGAGCTGCGGCGACGTTTGCTTTGCTTCTGTGAGGGATTTGTCTTGCTTTTGCTGCTGTTGCTGTTGTTGTTGCTGTCATTCGTGGGAGTCTTGGAGGAGCTCCTGCGTCCTGTTATTGGATCGGTGCTTTTGTTGGTATCTTTGGTATCCTCCTCGACTATGGCGGCTGCCGCTCTATAATTCAGGGAAAGATCGATCCCAAACAGTTTTCAGATTCGGCTGGGCTTAAGGGTGGGTATGTGATGGGATTTTCCTTTTGCTTTCTTTTTCTTTGCTTTGCTTTTCTTTCGTTTTCCACGCGACGAACGGACGGGCTCGCGACGAACGGCTCTCGGACGGGACGCGCTGCCACGACACGGACTAAAAATTAACTGAGGAAAATTTTCGGAAAATTCATGCGACCACCAAAAAAGAGACCGAGCAGAAGATGAAGGAAATGCGAGGCATTCGCATTCACAAGAAAATTAAAATATTGAGGAATCGTTTTTATTTTTGGTGAAAAGTGTGAAAATATTGCGCACTTGCGCGCCAGCCAGAGAGCAAGAGAGAGTGCGGAAGAGAGAGACCCAGAGTGTGAGAGAAGAGAGCAGATAACATATGTAGACGAGTGGGTGGGTGGGTGGATAGTGATGAGGAAGAACGGTTCTTTGTTTGCCAGCTGGGACAGGCGGTTCAAAACTCACGCGAACACGCACACGCTTATGCTTCATTCAGAATGCATTCCATTTCGTTTTTGTAAATTGTAAAATGAATTCGTTTCCGTCAGTTTGCCGCACAGCGAAACAGGGAAACGATCGAAAGTGATGCGCAAGGGGTGAGGCGGAGACGGGCGCTTTTCACAAGAAAAGCCTTGAACTCTTGCCTGGCCGATGGAACGCAATGAGCGAGCAATAAAAGTTCTGTGTTGTTGAAGGAAAATAAAAGCAGAACAAAGCGTAATACACAATTTACGTTTTATTTTAAACGTGCGCTCACTCGCAATATTTTAAATATAAATAATAAAGGAGTAATTGCATTAAACAAAGAGGAAGAGAGAATACGCAAGAGCAAGGCAATATTATAAGAGAGAGGGAGCGAAAGAAAAGTGAATGCTTTTTTGAACGGTTATTTAAAAGTTCTACTACAAGAGAGATCGAATGGAAGGAAGAAAACAACAGCGAGAGGCGCCGCAGAATCGGATAAGCTTTTCGGGAGCTTTGCTTTTAGTTGCGCTGCAACGCAACGCTCTGTATTTGGCCAAACTTTTCTGCCATCGAAAGCTTAGGCGAAAAAGACAAGAGAGCACACACTTAGGGGAATCTTCATTATTGCTAAGTTTTTCTACTGCCATTAATCGGTTATGTGGGGTGTAAATACTCCCATGACAAGCTTATGACACACTCTGGACAACAGCTCGAACTAAACACTTTTGAAGCTCCTGTAAAAGAGCTCTCTCCAGATCACAGCATTGACTCCTTGCTTGATTTATGACTGTCATCATCGTATTGAAAATGATAAATCAAATTTCAATGGAAATTAGTACACCTATATGGCATTCATTGTTGATTTGATTAATTGCAATATTTTTCACACTTTCTTGCACGATTTTACTACTGTCTGGTAAGAGCTGAATGGGAGAGAGTGCTCTTTTACACTGGAACTACTGGAGATGCATTGAAAGGGCTCTTTCTCTTTCTCTTTCACACTGGAACTACTAAGATTTTAAAGAGCGGGGAGGGATCAGGCGGTGGCAGACAGCGGTTGCCCCGAAGTTCAACGCGATTGAAAACGCACTCGAAAAGTTTACATAATTGGCCTTCTCCGCCGACGAGTAGGAGGAAGATTTTGGCTAATGTTCGTATCGCGATGCGAGCGAGGCGGCTGCGCTGCAACTAAAAGTCGTAATTACGCGTCGACAACGACCACTCTGCCGCAAATCAACGCCGATCAGGCACCGAGGAAATTCAAATGAAAATAAACTCAAGTGAAAATAGAGAAGGAAGGAGAATGAATAAATGATGATCGCCGCCGACAGAGAATTTTGACCGAGTTTTGTTGTTGGTTTATTTTGTCGACGAAAGGAAAGCAAAAAGAAGGCAAAAATTAAAAATAAATTATAAAAATCTTTTGCTTCATTTCCTTTTGCATCGATTACCGATTGCTGATGCTGCTCCGCTGTTGTTGTGGATTCTGTTTCTGTTGTTGTTGCTGTGGTGGATTCTGTTGTTTATTATCAGGTCGTTCGCTTGGATTGCGTCGAAAGCGCTGCAGCAGACTGTTGCAGCTTTCGGAGAGCAGCTGTGTGACGCTGGCAGCGGTAGCACTCCGCATGTACCGTCGCTGCTGTCGCGGCGGCTGCGGCTGCTGCTGCGTTTTTGTCGTCGCCGTTGCCTCGCCGCCATCAGCTGTTTTACGATTTTCACTTGAATTTGGCAAAATCTTTTCGCTTTTCTCGCGATGAAAACGATTCAGAAATGTGGCCATATTGGCCACTCTTTCCTGTGTATTGGTTTCTGCGTGGGTCTCTCTCTCCCTCTCTCTGTCATCCGCCGGATGACGACAATCCGGATAATATTTAAATACCGTAAGGAAATAATCGATCGAGAGGGTTCGTTCGTTCTGCTGTCTATTTCGTTAATTGTTTTAATTTTTGGTATTTTGTTGTGCTGTTTATAGAGAGAGCGGGTGTTTTTTCTTGTAGATATGATTGTATTATATATACATAATATAGTATAGACAGAGCGGATCGGAGCGGATTTATGTGTAAAAATAATTGAAATTGTAAGAGATTTTTGCGGCAGCTTCGACGGAAATAGACACACAACAGAAGAAGCAGTCGCCCCCACGGGTCCACTGTCCAGATCAGATCAGATCCGCTCAGCGACAATTTAAAAACTATTTACAAATTCCAATCAATTGCAGTTGCACTTTAAGTCGGAGGTTTTTGTTGGAGGGGGAAACACACGCACTATGAGCCATTTATCCGAGAATTTTAAGGTGAATTAGGAGGGAACGCCAAACGATTCGCTGAGCGTTTGTTCGAAGAAAACAAACAAAACCGAAATCAGCGCAACATCAACGAAAGCGCACGCCACAAATACTAATTATAAAGATTGAAAATATCGCCGATGTCAGAGTCGAAAGTAGCTAGCTGCTGGCTATGGCTGTGGCTGAGGCAAAGGCAAAGGCGACGGCGAAAACCGTCCGTGCGGGAGAGCTGTGTGGTTGAGAACTGAGTGTGTGGCTGTGGTTGAGGCTGAGGCCTCCTCTTCCCGTGGTTTCTATTATTGTTTGCTGCAGAGGAAAAATAACCGAAAAACTAGCCACACACCCAGGAGAAGAATCAATTGGCACAAGGGGGAATACCCTTACTTTTTGAGCACTTGCCTCATTAAAGTTGTACACTCAAAGAGCGAGTCATGGGTGGGATCATTCTTTGGTGAAGTTTTAGGATAGTAAGAGCATTCAAGAGTCGTATAGAGAGAGAGAGAGAGAGAGCGACAGTGGCTCTCTCGAGGATGGAGAGAGAGTCCACAAGAGATCGCATCCCATCCACCATCTGGTGTTACATATTTTTAGACATCACAATTTTTCTCTGCTAAAAACGCGTTCCGTTCCGCGTATTGTTTAGTGTTATTTTGTTTTGTTTAGTTATTAAAACAATTACATACATTTTGGCAATATTTAAACAATAAACCAGCGGCAGCAGTGGGAGTAGAAGCGTCAGAGTGGCAGTGGCAGCATCATCAAGCAGTTAAAAATTAGCCAAACAAAAAATTATAGCAACCAAATAAACAGACAATAAATTAAGTGGCCGTCGCGGCAACTATTTATAGAGAGTAGCCCCCAAGGAAATTGACATTGAATTTCCCCTTTTTTTCAGTCTGTCGATTGTGCAATGGTTTTGGTGCAAGATTCTGCTTGCCAAGAGCAAAGAAGAGTACCCCCCATCATCATCAGGGAGGTGTTTTTGGGGCTGTGGATGTTTCACACTTGAAAGGCCACCAAAAGTACAGGAAGCACATACAGACAGACAGACAGACACTTGGGGCCACAGAAAAGGCAAAAGCAATGGCAAAGGGAATGGGAATCATCATCAACATCAACATCATCGTGTTCTTCGTCAGAGGCCTTTTTTTGGAGAAGCACACATCGCAGCGAGTCTGAGTCATCTGGTTATTTATGTGGCAAGTTCTTAAGTATGGGTAAGGATGGCAGCGGGGAGAGAGCAGTATGCTGTTAGTAGTGCAACAAAAAACAACACACACTAAATATGTATGATTTGTGGAATACATTCTGTGTAGAATCTACCTCGATAAAGTGCAATCCCAATGCGGATTTGGACATTTCATTTGGTTGTTGCTGTTGTTGTTGGTGTAATTGTGGTGCCTGTTGTTGTTGTTGTAGATGATGTGGTTGCTGTTGTTGATTTGAGTGATTGAATATGACAGAATTGCTTTGTTGCAACTGCTGTTGTTGCTGTTGCGGTGGCTGCTGTTGCGGTTGCATGCCCGCCGTTGTCGATGACGATGGTGACGCGTAATACAATTGCGTATTTGTATTTGGATCATATTGAAGCCCAGCGACGGCACCTCCTCCCCCTTGCGCTGCTCCAACCCCAACGGAAGCATTGAGAAATTGCTGCTGCTGCTGTTGTTGCTGCTGCGTATGCGGATGCGTTGGCTGCTGTGCCTGTTGCTGGTACTTGTTGACCGACGACTGCATCTGATTCGGCTTGGGATAGGCATACGGATCAAAGGTCTGCAGTGGCTTGCGCTCCTGCTGCTGCTGTTGCTGCTTGGGTAGATTGTAGTAATTGCGACTCATCATCCCCAGCCCAAAGTTGGAATGTGGCGGATGCTGCTGCTGCTGTTGCTGATGGTGGAACTGCTGCTGCTGATGCTGCTGCATGGCTGTGGGTCGTTGGGCAGAGCTAAACGAGACAGAGTGTGTCAGCGGTCCGCCGACGCCAGAGCGAGGATAACTCATTTTGGAGGCAGGTTGGGGTTGCGGCGCCTGGTAGGCGCCGTACATTTGAGGCATCATGCCAGGCGGAGGCTGCAGCGATGGTTGTTGCTGTTGCTGCTGCTGTCCAAACTTATTCTCCTTGTTGGTATTCTTCTGCAGAAAGAGCGCCAGGCCGGACTTGGGCGTTTGCTTGGATGCGGCTGCCACATGCGAGGATGAGTACGATTGCTGCAGCTTGTGGCTAAGATGTGGCGGGTACAAATGTTGCTGCTGGTGCTGCTGCTGCATAAAGGGATCACTGGATCCATTCATGGCCGAACAGGCAAAAGTATTCCAATTGAGGAAGGGACGTTTATGCTGTGGGTATTGTTGCTGATGCTGCTGCTGTTGCTCCTGTTGCTGCTGCTGATGCAAATGTTGCTGTTGCAACAATCGCTGATAGCCACCCATCGGTAGCTGTGAGGTAGAATTGGACTTTCCAATGGGATAGCAGATCCGCTGCTGCTGCTGTTGTTGCATCAACGGCTTCTGCGGGTCGTAAAGCTGCACTGGCACTGGTATCTGCGATTCGCCCCCATATTTGTTCCCGCCACTGCCACCAGTGCCGCCGCTGCTGCTGCTGCTGGCGTTCGTGGGGCCTTCGCCAACGGCTGCCCCCGTGATCTTCGGGTCTTTGTGCTGCTGCTGCTGCTGCTCTCCACCTCCTCCTGCTGCTGCTGTCAACGACTGCGACATGATGCTGTTGCTGTTGCTGTTGGTCTTCAACTTTAGCATGTCGTTCAGGCATTTCTCTAGCTTGTTCTCGACATCTTTCTGGCGCTTTGTGGCTGACGTTGCCGTTCCTCCTCCTGCTCCACCTGCTGCTGCTGTGTTTGCTGTTGGCATCTCCGAGTTGATGTTGGCAGCCATCGAAGATGATGATGCTCCTGCCGCTGCAGCCCCTGCTGGCTGTTGTTCACTCTGTTGCTGTTGCTGCTGCTGCTGTGAGGTTGTTGTTGTTGCCGTGGCATTTGTCGTCGTCGAAGGTGCAATGTGGAACGAGGAGGTGAACTTTGAGAGCTGCGGCAGATGTGTGGTGCAGCAATTTGTGACCGTAAAGCTACTCGTGCTGATCGTACTATTGCTCTTCTCCGACTTTCGCTCCAGCGATGCCGAATCACCCACCGATGACGTCTCAACCTGTTGTTGCTGCTGCTGCTGGTGAGTGTTGGAGGGTGTGGCTGCCTCTTGTGGGCGTCGAAAGAACGCAGCGGCACAGCGTGGCGAGGGCACACAGGAGCTGCTGGAGCTCTTGGCCACAGCTGCAGGCTGCTGCTTGGCCAAAAGAGGAGCCACTGGAGTTGGCGCCTCCTTTCGTTGGGTCTGCGACATCAGTATCGCCGAATTGGAGGTGCTTCGGCTCAGCGATGGCAAGTTCTTCATGTAGCAGGGTATGTGTGTGCGGCTGGTGGTGCGCTGAAGACCTGCCCCTGGCACATGGCTCATGGACACACTCTTGGGCAGTGCCTGCAGCTGCTGCTGCTGCTGCTGTTGTTGCTGTGGAAACGGCTGTGGCATCTGCTGTGGCTGCTTGACGGGCACTCGACTGACAAATGGTGTTCCATTCACATTCGTGGCGGGTGATTGTGGCTGCTCATTGCATATGAGCTTATAGAGATCATCCTTGGTGACGGCCTGCCGCACCTTGAGGTCCAGATGCGACAGCGAGGCGTTCTTCTGCAGCTTGTGGGCATGTGGCGCCTGCTGTGGCCGCTGCAACTCTTTCTGGGCCGCCTCCGCCACAGTGGGATCAAAAATGGCCAACTTCTTGGCCGTCTTGGCGTCCACCTTGAAGGGCTGTCCCGCATCCCCCAGCTGTGCTCCGCAGATCTTTTCGTAGTTCCAAAAAGTTCGCTTTGGCGTTTGTCGCTTCTGAGAGGAGCCTCCGCCGCTGCCACCACTTAGGTTTTCGCTCCAGAAGTCGTTCATCAGCTGCTTGTTCAGCGACAGATTTGAGCCGCTCTGCAGACAGTTCTTGCCGGGCAGCGGACGGAAGGGATTGACATTCTGTGGCATATTCGAGCTGGAGATGCTGCGCTGCAGCTTGGGCTCCGCTCCATTCTGCGCGAAGATCGAGGGATATGCCAGACGGAGAGGCTGCTGCTGCTGCTGCTGATGTTGCTGCTGCTGAGGCTGTACCCTGGCATTCTGAGCAAAATTAATGGACGAGGACTTTGACAGTGGACCAGATGATCCAAAGGAACAGGCAGCTGCTGCTGCTGGTGCTGGTCCCACCGGAGCGGTCTTCACCGATTGCTGCGAGTTGGACTTGGCCAGCGGCTGCTGCTGTCGCTTCAGGCGATCGTAGAGATCCTCGCACTCCTGGAACTCCTGGTGCAGCTTCCTGTCCAGCTCGCTGTAGTCCGGCAAACTCTTTAGATACTTGTTCATCATCTCGATCTCTGCATCGTAGAAATTGGCATCCAATTTGGCGCTGTTCGTGGCCGCTGCAGACTTCTCCTGCAGCTCCTGCTGCTGCTGCAGCAGCTTGTCCAGACTGATCTCTGTCCCAGCCGCAGACGCAGTCGAAGTCGAAGCTGAGGCAGGCAGCGGCTGCTTCTTGGGCGCTCGACATGGCACTGGCGGCGGTGGTGAAGAGGATGGCGATGAGGAGGATGACAGCGAGATGCTCGAGGCGGGACTCGAGGCAATTGTGGCCATCAGGCGCGACGGCAGCGCCGTGCCGGAGGCGCTTATTGTCCCAGTGGCCGCATTGTAGGCCAGCGGATGATGCTTCCGTGGCAGCGGTGGCGTCGACTTGGGACTCGCCGGCAGCAGGGGCCGATTCTTGCGGATTGCCAACGGCGAGGAGATGGGCGACCGCACAGCGCACTTGGTCTCCGGTATGCTGGACGACAGCACCGATGCAAACTGTGGGAAGACCACCTGCTGGAAGAACTGCTGCCCGCTCGCCGGTGGCGTCGGTGTGGGCTTTGGAGGAGCTGCCGCCTGCTGCATACTGGTGGTGGCTGGTGGCAGAGATTCCCTGGAATGCTCCTCCTTGGCTCTCAGCGTAGTCGCAGCAGTCGTTGGGTTTGGGATTGGGCTCGGGCTTGGCTTTGAGGGGCTATGTGGTGGTGGCACTGCAACTGCGGAGGATGTCTGGCTAGCAACATCTTCACTCATTTAGGTTTCCACTTTTAAAATCGTTTTCAACTCGCGTAGGATTTGATTTTGCTTTTGTTTATGTTTACCTGCTTTTGGCAGTGTATTAATTATGATTAGCTTTTATTTCGATTGATTGTTTTTGGTAGAGTAAAGATAAATACGTTAAACCACTGCAGGGATAGAGATTGACAAGAGGGAGAACTACTGATGAGAGATTCGAGCTCTTCGAAGGAGACAGAAGAAACGAATAAGTGCTCCTTTACCTTTAACTCCTACAAAAACCATAGATATCCTATATAACATTCTACATTCATCCTGCCTAAGTCGGGAGTCGTTCGTTCCACTGTAATCTTATGGAATCTGCGTTTAGGAGCGAATGACAATACCATAATTTGATTTGAAATTCGTTCATTCTACGTTCTTTTGTGAATGTCAATTTGCCGTTCAGTTCAACAGCAACCCATACCGAATGGTTCCTACTGAACCTCCTACCTATTGGTGTGCCCTAAGCCCTATAGCTTTTAGTCCGCAAAGGAATATGCCATTTATGTTCGTGTGTGTGTGTGTGTTGAATGTTCAAGAGAATAGCAACAATCGAGGTAAATTCTAATTCTAAATAGTTTTCAAACAGAACACAGAAAATAGAGGAAGACACCAAACGGGGAAACGGAACCACAGAGACGAGACACCGAACAGCACACCACAGAGCAATCACGACGAGCACCATGAGGAGGATCGTTGGCACCAACCTGTAGATACTGCTCCGGTATCTTACTGTTCTTCGGCACAATGATCTTTTTGATTATAATGATCTTGTCGCCCTGGATCTTCGTAATGGTGATGGGCACACCCATCTGTGGACGCTGTGGCTTGACGGGAACTGGTTGCCTCACGGTCCGTACCACCTGTGGCCCGGTGAGTATGCCACCGGGACTGGGCTTTACCGGTGCGGGCTTTGGTATCGGCTTCTGGGCCGGCACATGCTCCTTGTGATCGCTGCGCACAATGGAGAAGTGATACAGTGGCTTGTCATCGTCCAGGATGCTCTTCTGGGGCACAACTTTCTTCTCCACTTTCCGCAGCACCACCCCCAGCATGGGTGACTCTTTCGGTTTGATGGTAACGGAGCCACTGGGTGCGGTGACCCGCTTCAGATTCACACCCAGATTGGCACCCACGGGCGGCGGTGTCTTTCTGCGAATCATCAACCTGGGTGTCTCATGCACTTCTTCCTGTGCCGTGGACTGTGACTCTGGCACTGGCTGTGGATTGGTGTGGAGCGAGGGCTCGGGTGCCACCAGTGGCGAGGGGCCCGGAAAGAGCGCCGTCAGGCTGCTGCGTCGCCGATTCATCATGCTCGGCGCCGACACGGTCTTCGTGAGCGGAAACTTTGTTGGTAAATTGGGTGGCGCAAGCCCTGAAGGATCAGCCGCCGGTTCATTGGCCGCACTGGAGGTGCTGCCTCGACGGCTGGTCGCCTTGGACACCGAAGCACTGACACTGATCGAATCGATGCTGCTCACGCTCGCCGAACTCTGTAGACGATCGGGGGCAGCACTGCGCTCGCGATTCCTCTGCTCTGGCGATATGGAGCGCTCTCTGTTGCGATTGGAGCGAGCGTCGCGTGCCGCACGCTGCATGCGCAGCAGCTCAATGGAGTCAGCCAGGTGGGAGGTGCTCTTCTCGGGAGAGGACTCCTTGGAGGTGCCCAGTGCCCCACCATCGTCCAGGACGTTGGGCAGCGAAGTGAGACGATCGCGTGGTGCGGCATTCGTGGGCAGCGAGCCCTTGGCCAGACTGTGCTCATCTTCCTCCTCCTCCTCGTCAGCTTCCTGTTGCTCTCTCTCCTCCTTTTCGTGCTGCCTGCGCTTCTCGCTCTCCATTACCCGCTGCAGCTGTGCCTGCACCTCAAGGGCAGCCCGTGCCCTGGCCTTGATCTCTGCGGCATGGGCCACGCGCAGCTGTTCCTCGGCAATGGCCCGTGCCTCTGCTTCGGCCTGGGCCCGTACCTGGGCCGCAGCCTCCGCAGCGGCGGCAGCCCGAAGATTGGACAAATCTGTGGCCGTCATTTGCTTGATGCTGAGACGCCGCTCGGTGTTGAGGATCAGCTCGCTCTGGGACGTTAGATCCGGACACCCGAGGGCGATCATTTCGCTTAGTTCGTTTGACATTCTTCTGCCTGGGCGGTGGCTCTGCTTGACTCTGGGGGGTCCAGTGTACTCTCGCGGTTGGTGCTTCTTCGGGTGTACAGCGAATAAAAAAAAGAATGGCAATTCTTTCGGTTACCTAATCTTTCACTGGCGGTCGGTTATGGGCGGTTTCCCCACGGACTGCGTTGGATAGCGTTCGATCGACTACTTGGACGAGACTCGCGAGGCAGCTGGCGCTGGCCACAAAGGAAACCTGTGGCTGCCCCGCTCGACAAGACAATCGAATCGAATCGAATCGGATTGATTCGGAACGGTACGGATCTCGTACGCTCAATGTCAATGTCTCATTGGCATTTTGGCAACTGCCTTGCCTTACGACTTGACTTATTAATTGATCCAATGATCGTCAATGATCGACAAATGGCCGTGTGTCCCTGTGTATTCCCTCTTGGCGCCCCAAAACTACCTATTTACTATATACCACATCCGATTTATACTAGCGCTCTGGCTTACCCCAATTTTCAGACAGAGAGTGAGACATACAGTGAAGCTTCTCCCTGTAGCTTAAATATTGATGCACAAGCGATTGCTGCAAAAGGGAATGTACGAGAATACCATAATGCCCAACAATATGCATGTCGTTTGCATGACGGATTGGGATCTATGTAGCTCCTTCTAATAGAGCTGCCACTGTACACTTGTTTGTATGTATTTCTACATATTTATATGTGTATTTATATACCTTAAAATTACAATTCGTGAACAGCAATGAGCTCATTGATTGCGGCGCCGCCTTCACATATGAGAAGACTTCTCCTCCTCCATCTCGCTCTTCGTCTACACCTTGCCCTACATATGTACATATATCATCCATCTGCTACATCGGAGATCCCTGGAGATCTTTGGCCGATCTCTAGACCCACTAATGTGTGATATCTCACTGGGCGTTCGGTTCTGTGTTCTGTGTTCGAAAATCGGTTTTTATTTTTAACAAATAGACGACGACGCACGTAAATTGGCGCAGCCGCCGGACCGGACCTGGCATTATACGTAGTACACAAGACACAGTACGTGTGACGCCAGTGGTCCCCATCCCCAGTGGTGCCCCCTCTTCCTGTGTACAGTAAAGACTCTATCAGAGGTGTGAATGATCTGTTGATCTCTTTATAATTTCCATTTGGTGCATCTATGGCCTGCGATAATTGCAGTGTTTGCACATTGATTGCATTTTTAAATTAGTTTTTCTCGATCTTTAGATATCTTTGAAGCATTTCTCTCTCAATAGTTTTTTACTGTTCAATCACACACACACACACACACCGTGCAGATATTATGTATAAATGGGAAAAACTAAGGGAAAAACCATTCCAACCCACTGTTGACTCTTTTTTTTCTTCCATCATAACACATGTATTGTACATGTTTTGTGTCTTGAATATATTTTTCGCTATATCTATCAATTTTGTTGTGGCACTAAATATAAATGCAAGCACTACAAAAATAGCACTACAGAGAAAATTATAGAAAAGAACGAACGGGGGGAGGAACACCAGAGGCTCTGTGGCAGCAGCAGCAGCAGCGGCAAAGATCACCATGATCATGATGATGATGATGTGGCGGCAGGCATCAGCCTGATGAATAATCCCCGCTGATCCGTGTGGCGCATGCATATAGAGTATATATACAAAACATATGTACATATATGCTATGTATATGCCACACACTCATACACGTGTGTGCTCCACTCTGTGTGTGCTGTTTGCTCATCTCATTTAGTTTCGCTCTCTTGTGTGTGTGTGTGTGTGTGTGTTTGTTAGTTTTGAGTTTTTGTTTTGATTTGCTTGGCCGCTGCTGCTCCTCCTTCTTTATCCATTTCTCATTTCTCATTTGTTTCTGCCACATCAATCTCTATCTCTATCTCTGCGGTTGCACTGGTCTGTATCTATTCCCCCCCAAAGAAAAAGTAGCTGCAAAAAACTATGTTGGAAAAGTGCAAAGTTCATTCTACTGAAATCTGTTTTCTGCACCACACTTCTCGGGTGTTGGTTTCCTTTTTCTTTAAAACAATTTCCTCACAAAGTATGATTTGGTATTTTGTTAACACTTTTTATGTCTTTTTTGTTGTATTTTGCTTTTGATGTTGTTGCTATTTTCAATTTTATTTTTAAAACACTTAAATTTGCGTGGTTTTAGTTTTTTTTTTTTTTTGGTATTATGTCACGTTGCAGCCCTCTAAAGGCCAACAATTGTTTCAATTTGCGCTCGCTGTGCGTTTCTTGTTAGTTTTTTATACATCTTTGCAGGTATCGCACATAGTATATCTTTAAAAGTATATCCAATACCCAAAACACACACGGATAAACAAAGTTCGCGAAAGGAAACGATACAAAAAGAGAGAGTAAGATACAATGTACATACAAATATATACAAATTATGTATATAGAGAGGAAAGATGGGCTCCCACCGTACCGTTGTTACACGTTTTGGGCAGACCGATTGGCCAAAAGACCGAAAGATCCGACAACCGAGAATCGACGACGACCAGACCAGACCAGACCAGACCAGACCACACGGTTGATGTCGGCGGCAACACGGACGACACGACACTCTGCTGCCAACAAACGAAGATTTGAATCTGTTTCGGTTTTCTCAAATTTGAAAATTCTCAACCGAAAACCGAAAAAAAATAACACGCAGCGAAAGAAAGAAAAAACTTTATTTATAATTTTCCAATGGCGGCGGCGCAGGGCACAGCGCAGAACACGAAAAAAAAAAGAAAAGTGTTTAGAAGAGAAGCTGCGCGCGCACCATCATCAGCTGTGTGGTGGCACGAGCATGCGCAGTGGCAATATGCACACAAAGAGAGCTAGAGACAAGACTGTTGCAGAGAAGGGACACAACAATGCATGCAACACACAACAAAGAGACACAGAAAGAAGACTCTGGCACTCCTCCACACTCACGAGA